GGTAAGAGGAAAGGAGGAGAAAGGAAGAAGAATGTCATCCGTCATAACACAATTCCACGTAATGAGTCTCTCAGAGGTGAAAGGAAGAAGAATGTCATCCGTCATAACACAATTCCACGTAATGAGTCTCTCAGAGGAAAAATTGTCTCGTTACTGAACCAGCAGCATTAATGAGAGTAAGCACAAATATTAAAACCAAATACCTTCAGCATCTCCTTTGTCAAGCTTCACTCTGTTAGTCTCTTTCTTTTTTGCTTTTTGTACTGCACAAAACAAGTCCTCTTCCGTGTCTCGTTTTTCAAGGTTTACCTCTTTCAGTTGCTTACGTCGCAGTGGATACCTACAACATGACGCATCCAAATTGGTAGTAGTTTTCTTTTCACTTTGTTGATTAGCGGTTGCCATCTTAGATGCTGAGGGATCCACTACTGGTACTTCATTGCTGTGCTCTGCCAAAAAGATTTGGTGGGTGGGACGTAATGAGACTCACAAAGGAAAATTTTCCTATTTCTGACCACCAGCATCAATGAGAGTAGCCTCAAATATTAAAGCCAAATACCTTTAAATTTATATGCTTCAGCATACACATTCTGTTGCACATCTTGCTTTTCAAGTTTCTCCATGTTAGTCTCCCCCCTTCTTGCTTTTGGTGCTGCACAATGAAAATCCTCTTCCGAGTTCACTTTTTCAAGCTTTACCTTCTTAGGCTCTATTGTTTCTGGACAGGATATTGGAGCGGCAGTTTTTTGTCTTCCAGAATGTGAAGAATCTGCAACTACTGTGTTCTTTGGTTTTACACAGTTCATAGTCCCTTTTGTTTTTGATTGGTCAAGCTTCACCTCTTCCATCGGTTTACTTTTACTTCGTAGAGGATGCCTACAATGTGGTGCTTCCAAACTCGTAGAATATTTCCTTTTATTGCATCTGCTAGTATTTGTCATCTTAGAGGCTGGGGGATCTAGTACTTCTTTGCAGTGCTCTGCTAAAAAAAGCGACCAGGGAAGGGGGAGCAGGAGGACACAAAGAGAGAGAAAGGAGAATGTTATTGGCACCAGCATAATTCAACCAGAATGTGTACCACAAGCGAAGATTCTCATGTTATTAACAAGAAGAATCCATGTAAAAAGGTACAAACATTTAATCAATATACCTTTTCCTTTATCTGCTGCATGGTACAAATTCTTCTCCATGTTTTGTTTTTCAAGTTTCTTCTTAATCTCCTTCCTTTTTACTTTATCTGTTGCACAATACAAATCCTCCTCCACGTCTGGTTTCTCAAGGTTCATCCTGATAGGATCCTGCCATTCTGGAACACCAGACTTTTGTCTTCTTGAATATGAATGATCTGCTACTTTTGTAACTTTTGCAGTCTTCATTCTCAGAAAACCGTCCACGATGTCATCACATGCATTATTGTTTGTCTCAGGCCCACGTTCCTTCTTTCTATGACTAGCATCACCCACTATCTTTACAAAATTCTCTGGTGTCATATCTTCACTTGGGCCAGAAGGATATTCAATCTCGGAAGCACTTAAATCAAATATGGAGACAGAGAAATGAGAGTTTCCATTATATTGGAAGAGTAAAAAGTAACCACAACCAATTGAATAGTACTCCTTGAACTGGTCCCAACCCTCCTTCAGCCATGCCATGCCATTAGAGTTTTGCAATTTTACTTTCCATATCGCACCACTTGGGACCTCAAGGGACACAAGATCTCGCATGTTGGCCCCATACTTCATTACAAATTCATCTGGGATGTGCTGTATGATACCAAAATCGGAAAGAAATGAACAAAAAAAGAGAGAAGAAACCAAAAGGAAAGAGAAGAGAACTTTAAGACCAATATCTGGTGTCAGGTAGCTGAAGAGACTGTAATCAAGTTTTCAATCACATATTGCCACCGGAAAAAGGAGAAAGAAAAAGCAATAGCTAGATACTAAGTAGGAAAATCATGTACAGACAAACAACAAGTACTGAAGTGATTAGTTAAGCTCAGGTCTTAGATCGGTCAATCAAGCTCCACAAGGCAGAAGATTTCATCATTTGTTTTTTTTAAGATTAAGACATCTAAATTTGAATAAATATCTAAATATTAATGTGTATTAAGATTAAAACGCCTGAATCTGGATACACATCTGAATATTAAGATGTTGTATTAAGATCTGAATACTGAATAATTAAGATTGTTTGTTTTCTCTACCGCTGAATGTATAAAACTTATTTTTATTTAGAAATTAATAAGTATAAATTCAAATCAAATAGTACTAGTTAATCTAATACAATATTAATAAAATGCTATTAAAATATTATATGGTGGTTGGTGGTGGTGATGACTAATAGTAATGGTTGTGGGTGCCGACTGGGTAATGTATGGTAGTGGTATTGGTTGATGGTGGTGATTATGGGCAGTAGACGGTGGATGACAGTAGTAGTTAACTGTGGTGGTTGATGGTGGTGGTGACTGATAATGGTGATAAGTGATATATAGCGGTGGTTGACAGTGGTGATTAGTGATTGTTGTAGTAATTGTAGTTATCGGTGATGGTTGTAAATGATGGCTAATGGTAGTAATGACCAACATTCGTGCTTGATAACGTGGTAGTTATGGCTGAGGATGGTGGTAATGAATAGTGGATAGTGGGTGGTCGTAGTCTACGATGTGGAGGACGCCAATAGCAATGGAGGTGGTGGTTAATGGTGAAAGTGTAGGAATAATAGTGAAATGTTTTTACATAAATTCTTGAATGTATAGCATCTTAATGATATTAAGACGATGTTATAGTTCAAACCCATTAAGTGGTTGTAAAATTAAAAAACAAACAGACTATGGCTAAGATCTGAATGATTAAGATTAAGATCTAAACAATAAACGCACTGAACGAGTGAGATATGAATGATCAAGAAGCAGACCAACTTGTTTGGATTGTTGTTACATATCGTTTTATAATGTATCGTATTGTATTGTATTATAGTGTACTGTATCATTTGATGAATACAATATTTGGATAAATTGTACCATTGCCGTTGTTTCACGATGCCACGTATCAGTAATATAAAGGATAAACTTGCGGTATTACAAAGAAAATTTATGGTACAAAGTAGAATTATAATATAAAAGGTAGAAGAAAGGATTATTTAATACTCCATCCGTTCCAGTTTATGTGAACCTATTTCCTTTTTGGTCCGTTCCAAAAAAAATGACCCCTTTCTAAATTTGAAATTTTTTTTAGCTTAAACTTACAACTGTACCCTTAATGAGAAGCTTTTATAACCACACAAATACCCTGAGCTCTTTTTTAACTTGTTTAGGACCACAAATTCCAAAAGTCCTCATTTTTTCTTAAACTTCGTGTCCAGTCAAACAGGTTCGCATAAATTGAAACGGAGGGAGTAATAATAAAGGACAAGATAAGAGAAAAAGACAAGGTAAAGATACGACCACACCAAATCGGTCGTTATGTAAAGTGACATTTTTCATCATTACGTAACGACGTATTTAACGATATGATGATACAATAAAATTTAAAGTAACAATCAAAACAAACATTGTATTTAAAGTAACAATACGATACAATACATTACTTAGTTGAGACTGGTTTATATTTACATTAAGGTTTGCCAAAAACCTTGTGATCCTCAAGCTTCCCATTCCCTCAAGAACCCTCTTGTATCTAACCCCATTTGATTGGACACAGAGAACATAACTCTTTTATGGATTAAAAGGACAGCCCGGTGCACTAAACTCCCGCTATGCGCGGGGTCCGAGGAAAGGCCGGACCACAAGAGTCTGTTGTACGCAGCCTTACCCTGCATTTCTGCAAGAGGATGTTTCCATGGCTCGAACCCGTGACCTCCTGGTCACATGGAGGCAACTTTACCAGTCACGCCAAGGCTCCCCTTACAACTCTTTTATGGATTATGCTAAAAGATTTGGCACACCGTACACCCACTCGTGCACATTTAAAGACCTAGTTGAAAGACCAAAGATACTGTTAGAATAGTCATGTAAATAGGAGTAAATAAATAACCCTAATCCAATATATATTAGGAGTAGGACATGTTATGTGTGTATATATATAGGGCTCATTGTAACATATGTATATATATATACACACATAACATGTCCTACTCCTAATATATATTGGATTAGGGTTATTTATTTACTCCTATTTACATGACTATTCTAACACTCCCCCTCAAGCTGGTGCATATAAATCATATGTACCAAGCTTGTTACATATGTAGTTAATACGAGGACCAGTGAGGGACTTGGTGAAAATATCTGCAAGCTGATCATTCGACTTCACAAACTTTGTAGCAATATCTCCCGAGAGTATCTTTTCTCTAACAAAGTGACAGTCAATCTCAATGTGTTTAGTTCTCTCATGGAACACTGGATTTGACGCAATATGAAGAGCAGCTTGATTATCACACACAAGTCCCATCTGACTAATCTCACCAAATTTCAACTCCTTGAGCAACTGTTTGATCCAAATTAGCTCACATGTCGCCATAGCCATTGCTCGATATTCTGCTTCTGCACTAGACCGAGCAACCACATTCTGTTTCTTGCTCTTCCAGGACACCAAATTTCCTCCTACTAAGACACAATATCCAGACGTAGAACGTCTATCAGAAGGTGATCCTGCCCAATCAGCATCTGAGTATCCAACGATCTGCTCATGGCCTCGACCCTCAAACAATAAACCTTTGCCTGGAGCTGATTTTATATACCGAAGAATGCGAACAACTGCATCCCAATGACTATCACACGGAGAATCCATAAACTGACTCACAACACTCACAGAAAAGGAAATGTCAGGTCTTGTCACTGTAAGGTAATTTAATTTACCAACCAACCGTCTATATCGTGTAGGATCGCTAAGAGGCTCCCCCTGTCCTGGCAGAAGTTTAGAATTCGGATCCATCGGGGTGTCAACAGGTCTACAACCTGTCATTCCTGTCTCCTCAAGAATATCTAAGGCATACTTTCATTGTGAGATCACAATACCTGAGCTAGACTGAGCGACCTCAATACCCAGAAAATACTTTAGTTTGCCCAGATCCTTAGTCTGAAAGTGTTGAAAGAGATGTTGCTTCAATTTAGTAATACCATCCTGGTCATTGCCGGTAATAACAATGTCGTCAACATAGACCACCAGATAAATACAGAGACTCGAGGCAGAATGCCGATAGAATACAGAGTGATCAGCTTCACTCTGAATCATGCCAAATTCTCGAATAACTGTGCTGAACTTACCAAACCAGGCTCGAGGAGACTGCTTTAGACCATAAAGTGACCGACGCAAGCGACATACAAGGCCACGAGACTCCCCCTGAGCAACAAACCCAGGTGGTTGCTCCATATAAACTTCATCCTCAAGGTCACCGTGTAAAAAAGCATTCTTAATGTCCAGCTGATAGAGGGGCCAATGGCGAACAGCAGCCATGGATAGAAAAAGGCGGACTGATGCTATCTTAGCCACAGGAGAGAAGGTATCACTGTAATCGAGCCCAAATATCTGAGTATATCCTTTGGCAACAAGACGAGCCTTAAGACGATCAACCTTACCATCCGGACCAACCTTGACTGCATACACCCAACGACAACCAACAGTAGATTTACCTGAAGGAAGAGGGACGAGCTCCCAAGTACCACTCGTATGTAAAGCAGACATCTCGTCAATCATAGCCTGTCGCCATCCTGGATGAGACAATGCTTCACCTGTAGACTTAGGGATGGAAACAGAGGACAAAGAAGATAGAAAAGCATAATAGGGTGATGACAAACGATGATAACTCAAACCGACATAATGGGGATTAGGATTAAGGGTGGCCCGTATACCTTTCCGAAGTGCAATCGGTTGATTAAGAGGAGACAAGTCCGCAGTATTAGCAGGGTCAGGTGCAGGACGTGAATCAGCTGGACCTGATGCTGGGCGCGGACGACGATGATATGTCAAAAGTGGTGTTCCTGTGGCAGGGAGTCTAGGAGGAGCCACACTAGACTCCTCAACGGCTGGAATGGATAAGACTTCTATAGCGGAAGGTGAAGGAGGAGCTATAGGAGACTCGGGTAAGACTTCTGTGGCGGAAGGTGAAGGAGGAGCTATAGTAGACTCCTTAAAGGTCGGTATAGGTAAGACCTCAGATATATCAAGGGGGTCAGAAAGGTCAGAAGAGGTAAAGAAAGGTTTAGACTCAAAAAATGTGACGTCAGAGGACATAAAGTACCTACGAAGATCAAGTGAGTAACAACGATAGCCCTTCTGAACACGAGAATAACCAAGGAAGACACACTTGAGAGCACGAGGAGCTAACTTATCTTTCCCAGGGGCTAGGTTATGAACGAAACAAGTGCTCCCAAAAACACGAGGGGGAACAGAGTATACGGGTGATTGGGGACACAATACTGCATACGGTATCTGATTCTGGATGGGAGAGGAAGGCATCCGATTAACTAAATAACAAGCTGTGAGAACTGCATCGCCCCAAAAACGCAGCGGAACATGAGATTCAATGAGAAGTGTGCGAGCAGTCTCAATGATGTGCCTATTCTTTCTCTCTGCAACCCCATTTTGCTGAGGGGTATAAGGACAAGAGGTCTGATGAATAATTCCTTGAGAAGTCATAAACTGCTGAAATTGAGAGGATAAATATTCTAAGGCATTATCACTGCGAAAAGTGCGAATGGAAACACCAAATTGATTTTTAATTTCAGCACAAAAATTCTGGAATATAGAAAACAACTCAGAACGATCTTTCATTAAGAAAATCCAAGTACATCTTGAATGATCATCAATAAAACTAACAAAATAACGAAATCCCAAGGTTGAACTGACTCTACTAGGACCCCATATATCAGAGTGAACTAAAGAAAAAATAGACTCTACGTGACTCTCAATACTACGAGGATAGGAGGCTCGGGTATGTTTCCCGAGCTGACATGACTCACACTCTAATGTGGATAAACTAGACAAACCAGGCACCATCTTCTGAAGCTTGGATAAGCTTGGATGTCCTAAACGTTTGTGAATTAGGTCCGGAGGATCTGTAACTAGACATGCCTTGGAGGATTTTAGGGAGTTAAGGTAGTAAAGCCCTTCTGATTCAAGTCCTGTTCCAATCGTCTGCCCTGTACTGCGGTCCTGCATAATAAAAGAATCATCAATAAAATATATACCACAATGGAGGGCACGAGTCAAACGACTAACAGATGCAAGATTAAAAGGACAGCCAGGGACATAGAGAACGGAATCTAGAGTGACAGAGGGTAGGGGATTCGCTTGTCCAACTCCTTTTGCTTTGGTTTGAGACCCATTGGCTAAAGTAACAGTGGGAAGAGACTGTGAATACGCAATATTTGACAAAAGTGATTTATTACCAGAGATATGATCAGAAGCGGCTGAGTCCACAACCCATTGTCCAGGAGGACTAGACTGGGAAACACAAGCAAAAGAATTACCAGCAACAGAAGTATTAGTCTGAGCAACAGAAGCTACTTGTGGAGATGTCTGCTTACTTGCTCGATACTGAAGGAACTCATTATACTCCCCTTCAGATAAAGAAAATCCCTGGTTACCTGTAGTCTCAGTCTGAGCAACATAAGCATTTTTGGTTGGGCGGCCATGTAAAGAATAGCATACATCACGAGTGTGTCCAAGTTTATGACAATAGGAGCACTTGGGTCTAGATCTTCCAAAACGACCTCCTCCTCGTCTATTTTCCATAGTATGAGATGTCCGATTGTCCACTGATTGGGATACGAGGACAGATGAGTCAAGTGTCTGTGATGAGCTCACTGGGTGACTAGGTGCTGCAGCAAGGCGAAGTAATCGAGAGAATAATTCATCAACTGAGGGGACGGTTGGACTAGCCAAAATCTGGTCACGTACTGAATCAAGGTCATTAGGGAGTCCAGCGAGTGTAAGAACTAGAAACATCTTCTGTCGTTGCTCTTGTTGTTTTTCAATACTAGCAGAAACTGGCATCAACGTCTCAAATTCTTCCATGACTGCCTGAACTTGTCCCAAGTAAGTAGACATATCTAATTCCTGTTTCTTCAAGCTTGTCATTCGCGATATTACATCATAGAAACGAGATATGTCATTAGTGTATAGATTACGAGCCTTTTCCCAAACTAAATAACATGTCTGGAATGGACGGAACAAGGGCATCAACTTGGAATCAATAGATCGCCACAGGATACTACATAACTAATCTCACCATTGAAATTTGGTGAGATTAGTCAGATGGGACTTGTGTGTGATAATCAAGCTGCTCTTCATATTGCGTCAAATCCAGTGTTCCATGATAGAACTAAACACATTGAGATTGACTGTCACTTTGTTAGAGAAAAAGATACTCTCGGGAGATATTGCTACAAAGTTTGTGAAGTCGAATGATCAGCTTGCAGATATTTTCACCAAGTCCCTCACTGGTCCTCGTATTAACTACATATGTAACAAGCTTGGTACATATGATTTATATGCACCAGCTTGAGGGGGAGTGTTAGAATAGTCATGTAAATAGGAGTAAATAAATAACCCTAATCCAATATATATTAGGAGTAGGACATGTTATGTGTGTATATATATAGGGCTCATTGTAACATATGTATATACATCAATAATATATTTTCTCCCGTGCTTTCGCACAGATACATTACATGACTTCCTTCTAAATGTTGCAGCATCAAAGTGACTGATTAGATTGTTCTTTCAGATGGGGCACAGATTAAGGTTGAATTTGGATTTTTGTCATCAAGACTATTATTTACACTTCCTCAGTTCAATCTCATTTGCATCTTGAAAATCCTGGAAACAAGCTCTCTCAAAACTTATTATACTATTAGTAAATAGTACAATAATTTGCGCACAGTTACATTACTTAAAAGCAAAGATGAGTAATATGAAAAGATATAAAGGGCAGCCCGGTGCACTAAGCTCCCGCTATGCGCGGGGTCCGGGAAAGGGCCGGACCACAAGGGTATTTTGTACTGTAGTAATATGAAAAGATATACTGAAGTAAATTATGTGTTGCAAAGTGTCAGATTAACTCTACGAGTAGAAATATTTCAATCTTGTATTTTTGACAGTTGATCATTTAAGTCCATCAAAACTTTGCTTCTGATGGGATATCAAAAGTTGGCTAATTATTTAGCTTTACCATTCGAAACAAGAAATGGGTTTGTCTTAACTTCCCTAGTTTGACATAAAAAACTCATAATATAATCAAAGAGAGCTCCCTACTACATCTCCCTCTTATGTCATTTTAAGTTAAAATTTTCACTCCCTTAGTTTGGTGTCATTTATAGAGACATTCCAGTAATACAACAATGTGTTGGTCCAAATTTAATATTGGAACTTAAATGGAAATGGAATCCTCAAAAATAGCATCATCCATCCACATACAAGATGTTGACTAGGACTAAGCGCAAATCATCAACATTAATATCAACGTCATACTCAAACTGGATGCTCCTATTTGTGACAAGAAACGATTTTTACAAACCAAAAGGGGAAATTTAAAAACTAAAAAAAAAAATTCACAAAGTTATAAAGAGAAATCATTACTAAATCAAAAAGTGAAGGGAACAGAAACCAAACAAATAGAAACAGAAAAAGGAAATTATAAACTCAATTGCAGAGAGAACATACTAATTTAGAGGCATGAGGAAAGAGAATAATCTTGAAGAACTGAGGGGTTATCTCCGCCTCATTCACCGCTTGTCGCCGTCTCTTTACCATCTCCGCCACCAACTCTTCTTCTTGTTGGCCTGTGGCGTAGCAACGCGAAGCTTTAAAAAATAATTGGAACGGAATATCCCCTCTTCTGCCCACAGCATTATTAAACATTTAATAATCAGTTCCGTCAGTAGCTCCTTTGGCGTAATTAGGGGCGGCAAAATGATTAAGAGCCCGCTTGGATTAGCTGATTTGAAGTAGCTGATAAGCATTAGGTGCTGAAAAGCACTTTAAGTGCTGAAACTGATTTATAAGCCGAAAAGTGCTTATAAGCTAGTTTGACCAGCTTATAAGCTTAGCCAAACACCCTCTAAAAGAAAAACACATTAATTAGTTTAATTTTTATATTTGTAAAGTCTCAAATTGAGGTTTCTCAAGTTTGGAAATTGGGAGACTATAAATTCTCTCAAAAAGTAATCAATATTCAAAAAAGGGAAACTTACACGAATGTCCCAAATAAATCTCAACTTACCAACCTCTAGCCACTAATCATAGACTTACCAAAACTAGCCAACAAAAATTGAAAAACCAAATAATAGGGTTCTTTCTCTCAAAGAATCACATGCAAAAATCACCTTACATATTTTTAAGCGTGATTAGCAACATTAGATACAAGACCGAAAGGAAATTTTATGGATGAGGTAGCAAATAAGGTGATGAAATGCAAAAAATATATACAATATTCCAAAAATCTAAATAAAAAAGGAACTTTTTCAATGGGTATAGTTGAAATTCATTGAAAATATATAGATAAGTCAATATACAAAATTTGAGGAGGATTGGAGGTTATTTGGATTGGTTTTGTATCAAAATTCGTAATTAAATCAAGTTCAAAAAAGTCTTCTGCGACACATGTATCAAACATGTATCACGCATGTATCTCACACACAGGTATACATGGATATACATGTGATACACAATAGACACAAATATGATACATATGTGATACATAAATGATACACATATCATATTTTTCATGTTCAGTTTTTACGGAATTTTCAATTCAAACCACCTCAAAGCTTCACCAAATCATCCCAAAACTGATATTCAAGCTCCTTAAGTTGTGCCCAATCTATTCTAATAACACCCACTCAAAACAAAGTAAACATTTGATATTGTTTTGCTACAAATAGCTAATTGGCTAATTTGGCTAATATTAATAATATTTTATCAATTGGCCAATTTCGTAATGAGCTACCTATAAATGGACATAGCTGGTAATTTCCTTTCAAAAAACCATGAATAATATGGTCCATTAACTTATTTTTATCTGTATTAAATATGAATCGAATTGAATTTGATTCGTCCCATATCCGACCCGGCCAGATCATTTGTCAACCGTAGGGCGTAACTATTCAATTGTCTAACATTGTTAACTAATGAGATTAGAGCTCAGTCCTAAAAGTGGTCTTTTATTATTCCTAGAAAAACTAAAACAATGAATATACAATCCACCTGAAGGTATTTTTTTTTTTTTTAATTAGGTCTATTTTTATTCCTTTATTGGTTTCTTCTTCTTGTTCCCACTGTCTTTGCTTGAACCAGTTCTATAGTGCGTGTACCTCATCAATACATATAAAACTATAAAAATTATAAAAATATTATTAAATTATACATATTTGATATGCAATTGTTAATTATTATTTTAAAATATTTTTAGAATTTGATATTGAGTAAAATTTTATAACAATTATGAATATTAAAATAATTTATGCATAATCATGGCGTTAATTAAAATGTGTATATTTTGGTACATAAATTTAATAAAATGAGTGTTTGACTAAAGGGTAATGGACATATTATTACACATACCTAGAGGATTAAAACATATTTTTTCACAAAAATCTTTCTCTAGTTTAATTGATTTTAATTTTATAATCAATTATAATTGAATAATTAAAAATAAAGAAGATCGAAGAAGTGTTAGTCAACATTATCGACTTTAGTTTTTTTTTTTTTAGCAAATATACCACTAGGCAGGCTACCTAGTGGCTAATATATAAATAAAATCCCAAAATGGGTCCAAAGCTTACAAGATGTCCAAACCAAAATAGAAGTTGCATGAAGCTACTAGCTACTAAAAAGATAGAAAAGCTAAAGTCTAATGAACTGGCTATTACAATATTGTCCGTTGAATAATTCCTTCTCCTGTCAGTGTATGTGAATCCAATTGCTAGTGGCAAATACCAAGCAACACCTATCAAGCTCTCACCAGGCGCCAGGGTATGCAGTCCATAGGCTAAAATGAATTTCAAACATCTCCACCACAAAATTGAAGCCAGCATAGTCTTCCAATCATTAGTGTTGCTACAATATGATCTCCATAGGCAGTCACTGACTCTATCCAAGTATAAATCATGTGGTCGATCACCAATATTATCATGTAAAAGAGCCTGGCTACACCTGTCTTGAAGCTGGCTTTAGGCAGGCTTTGCAAGGTAAAAGCCAGGCTGGGGTTGGCTTTAGGCAGACTTTGCAAGGCAAAAGCCAGGTTGGGGCTGGTTTTAGGCTGGCTTTGCAAGGCAAAAGCCAGGACAGGGTTGGCTTTAAGCTGGCGACGTCAGGCCTGTGGAGCTGGGTGATTATATGATCTTGTAAGCTCAGATCCTTCTCTTCCCGAACCTTTAATGTAGAAATCATTCTAAATATTACTAAACCATCCTCAGATTGAGCATTGATAATAGGCAAAATCTAGGTGATTCAGCTATTGTTTATGCTTCCCTTGATTATATTCCAATGTAATAATATGGTTAATTGATGAAAAATAGGCTCTAATTGTGATTTGTATATATTACAGGATGAGGAGCTTATATGATACTTTCAAGAGGCTATTGGAATGATTTATGAGCAAGAACGACCCCTCGGAGCTGAGTGCGCGCAAGAACGAGACAAAGAATGGAAGAAATCATGGCCCAGATGCGCGAGCAGACGCGCGAGTTAACGCAGTAGTTCGCGCGCGTTAAGGGCTGAGGCAGAATGATGCACGAAGTTACGCGCGAAGTGACGCGCGAGCTCGCGCGAGGCCGGTCCGGAAAAGAGTTATTTAGGGGTAAAATTGGAAATCTGGAGAGAAACCCACTTAACCTATTGTCACACCTCCTTTTTTTACCTTACTACACCCACAAGGGTGTAAAGGAGTTTTTCCACTTAAAGGACAATCGGAACGGGATTTATTATTAAGATTTCAGAATCGCCACTTGGGAGATTAATGGTGTCCCAAGTCACCGGTTGAATCCCGAACCGAGGAAATTATGACTCTGTTAACAGTCCGCGAACCAGAAATCCGAGTAAGGAATTCTGTTAACCCGGGAGAAGATGTTAGGCATTCCCGGGTTCCGTGGTTCTAGCACGGTCGCTCAACTGTCATATTTGGCTTATTTATTTGATTTCAAAACATGTTTTAGCTTATGCTTTTTAACTTTGAACCGCTTTTATTATTATTATTTTAAGAGAATTGCAACGTCGTGAAAACACGTCTCGAACCGCGTCACATAAATGCACCCGCGATTTTTGACACATTTCGACTTCGTTGAGATTTGGATTTGAGTCACATAAATGTAAACCCGAGTTTAGGAAAGTAGATTATTAAAATACGCGCCTGAAGAAACTATGCATTTTAGCTTTGCGAGGGCCATGGAATTTTTGCTAAATGGCACGCCTCGGATTCTAAGGTTGAGTTAAAGCTAATTAAAACGAGGGCCACTGACTAAGCGATTGTATGGCACACCTCAATTTTATGTTCTAAATTACTTAAGACTAAAGATGTTTTACACCCAATCAAAACAGTAAAATTCCTACGGCTGAAGTATTTTACGGCCTCACCCAATCTAATCCATTTTCAACAAGAATTGCTTTTTCATCCATGAAACAAATATCTTCCGTACAAGTTGAAGCAATTAAATCTACTGATTCAATGTGAAGCTTATAAAAGACAAGGAACCAACAATCATCACATTTAAAAAAATAGAATATTCACATGACTAAAAAACAAAGAAACCAAGCAGCACATTAAGAAATGGTGTAAAAATAGACCTTGTATTGATTGGATCTAAACCTTAAGATTGCTGCTACTCCACAATTAAACCAAGAGCAGCGACAGAAATCCCAGCCGTAACTCGAATCAACAAATGACCCTTCGATGGAACTCCATCTCAGATTTACGGACGTTGACCTCGACCAACTGAAAACCTCGCCGGAGGAACAGGAACTTCGCCGGAAGACCAACCGGATTCTGCCGGAATTTGAACGAAAAATAACGAGATGAACCAGGCGCGTTTCCGGCGAGTCTGGGCGAGAACGAGACACTCCTTTTTTTTGATTTCTGGCCGGATTTCGGACTGTTTTTCGAGGCTTCTTCGAAGTGACTTAAATGCTAGTTTTACGGGGAGTTATCAGCTCATTTTGGAGCTCTGTTTGGCTGCTTCAATGGAGTTCAGGGGGCGTGAAATGGAGGTTTATGGCTGAAGGAGATGATGCCGGGGAGAGGGTCTTTTGTTTTGGTTTATGTTGCTGAAGAAGATGACTAATGGGGTTGATACGAATTTCTTGTGAAAAGCTGCGCTTACCTTCAGAAATTTTTGCCCTCCCCTTTAGATTTTAGGCATTACTCTATATGTAGAGTCTAGGTTTAGGTGTATTTTTGTGTATTTTGCCCATTAGTCTCTAATTTTTTTGTGTTAAGTCCTTAGGGTCTTTATTTATTTTTTTAATCCTAAAGAAGAGTCTAGAAGGGTCCCTAGGCTTAATGGACTAATCCGAATTGGACCTAGAATTGGGCTCTAAAACTCTTAAAATTGTGATCCAATACCTTAATTGACTCCTTTTAAAATAAGATAAAAATACTACACAATGCGAAACTAATCCTAATTAATTAAACTAAACATGAAACTATTTTTGTGTTTTTCGAAATTATATAAAGATAAAAATAAGGTACTATTTTTGTACTTTTTTTAAAAATTTATGGAAAATACATAAACTAAAATATTTTTTTTTGTAATTTTCATTTTTCTTGTAATAAAATAAAGTAAAAGCGTCAAAATTAATTGAAATAGCGCTATTAGGCCTAAATTAAATATTTACATGCTAAAATATGAAAAATCTTGGGGAGGGTCAAAAATCACATGTCTACAGCTGCCCCTCTTT